ACGCGTGTCATTGACAGCAAATATTGACCAATCAAAAATTACATCAATTTGATAATTGTCAACCGAACAATAACAATCAAGCAGACACAGTTAAGCATTACTCATTTCGGAAGATTATTTTTTTCTTGTAGATTACATTAGGTCATTATGGATAAGTCTAAACTAATAAATATATCTTTACATGTAAAATATTCATACAGTGTTGCCCTCACATGTTCACGTGACTGTTTATTATTATTTATTATTATACAAATGTATTTGTCTCATGTTTTTGTATTGTAATGCAAACTGGGATATATATTCAATAAAACTTGAAAACTTGAAAATGTTCGCGATAAGATAAAGTGAAATGCTTTACAGTTTGATGAAAGGACTTGTTGTTTGCTCGATGTGTTTTTATTGATTTATGCCGTTTATTATTGTTTTTAAACGCGGCAATTATTTGGAGAAAATACAAATGTACACGAAATCATTGAAACTCCTTGATAACTTTAACTCCGCAAAACGTTGGAGGTTGACATCATTTGTGAAAATAGATAGGTAACTTTATTTGTTGTTGTTTTTTTGTTGTTTTTTTGTTTTTTGTTTTTGTTTTGTTTGTTTGTTGCTGTTGTTTGTTTTTTTCTAAGCTGGAAATATTAGGATTTTACTGTAAAATATATTCACAAAAACAATTTATCTAATATGATGACTAACATTGTTATCAACATTGTTATCAGATTCCGTATCATAAAATAAGATTTACATGTATAAATTGTTTTGACCAATCCAAAAAGGAACTCCTCATTGTAAATGCTTTACCCTGATAAATAGTGACCGATTATTTGTTAACTCTATAAAGTACATTAACGAATATACTTGATTTATTTATTGTTATTGATTTCGTTTAGAATCAGATATTGTTGTATGTTCGCACGCAAAAGATGGCACGGTTTGATAGAGCCTAGTTATGAACTGCACGCTCTTAAGCACCGCCTTAGGCTAAACAGCTTATAACTCGAAATCACCCTAAATCTTTATTTTTGTTTGTTATAATATTATAATGTTAAGTCACACATCATGGAGATTTTTGGTGTCATTAACGATTTTCCTTCCCACGGTTCATTTTAAGTTATGGATTTTTAAAGAGAAAAATGAAATTTTGATGATTGCTTTTTGAATTTCATTTATATCTTGATCCACTTTTTCTTCTGTTTCTAACTTAAACAGTTATTATTTAGAAATGTCAAAAACTGCCGATTCATCTCTAAAAAGGTTGCATATAGAAGGCGAATGCTGTTTATTTTCCCTTAAATATCTAAGGGTCTGTGTATTGTACGAAAACAGTCTATCATTGAAATTATTTTAACTTTTTTTCCAGAAGAAAGAATTGTTCACAATGCTGTATATTTAACAAATGTGGGAACTGCTTTTTCCTTTTTAGCTCGACCATTCGATAAGAATAAGTAGAGCTATTGTAGTCACCCGAGCGTCGGCGTCGGTGTCGGCGTCGGCTTAACCATTTATTTTAAAGTTTTTTTATATCTCAAATATTTTCAAAGTCCATTGACATATGGCTTTGAAACTTTGTACACTTGTTCACCATCATGATTCCAACTTGTAGACAGGAGTAGGTAACTGTATCCAGCATTTTGACATAATTATGCTCCTTTTTCGACTTAGAATTTACATTTAAGTTTACATACCACGTACCTTAGATATTTTCATATTCTATTGACATCTGGCTTTGAAACAAGTTGAAATTTTATACTCTTCTTTAACTGTAACATGGATTTAAAGAAAATAATTTGACCTTTTGTTAACTCAGAAAAATTTTCATTATCAAGGCTCTTTTACCATCAGGCACTAAGAATAGTCGAGCGTTGCTGTCCTACCGACAGCTCTTGTTTTAATCTGAAAGACTCTTTATATCTAAAATAAATTCTGATTTTTTGTTTATATTCTAAACTGATAAACATCATTCCAGTGTGTGGCAATAATAAAAAACCAATATCTCATATTTCAATCATGGAAAAAATATCTATATTTCTTTATTCAATGAGAAAAAGGGTAAGAAAATAAAATGTTTTTCGTAATGAAATGATTATCTGTTTTCAATAAAGATTCCATCTTTACATAAATAATAATAATTCTTGCTTGGCTATAGTAATGGCTATAGTAATGTGATAACAGTTTTATGGCTGGCTGATAAGTTGTAGAACTATTTTGCTTATCCTTGTAAAATCAGGGACTTTACAGTGCAGTCCTGTTAATACTTTAAACTCTACAAACAAAATTGCAAAAGGGTGAGAGCGTGATGTGCGTAAATTGAAAAACATAGAATAAATACGTACCATTGCAGTCAAACAATTCTGTAAGAAAATGCCCCTAAATATTGGTTACAACTGTTACAGTGAAATATAATGATGCATGGAAAGTGTACTTTTGTATTAAGTTATGGCATCTTTTATGATTTAATGATATTTTTGACAATTTTCATTTTCATTTAGTTTTTCTAGTTTAAGTCACGGTTTCTATTGACTTGAACAAAAGCAGCTAACGAAATTCAGCATAATTCTGCACAAGAGCTAAGGAGACTTACCTACCCTTTATAGTCAACAAATATTTCAAGGCAAATATTAGTAAGTAAAAATAAAAGATAATAATTTAGCAAAATGACTTTCATGGTTATCTGCATGTTACAGACGCATTGTAAATTTGATAGTGAACAAGTTTTATATAATATTAAATTTGAAGTGAATAACTTTGAAAGTGTCAGAGAAAATGAACTTTAACAAAGTAGTTAACCAAGGGAAAAACTTAGTTGAAAAAGGGGTATTTCTTTGCATAAATTTATTTTTGGATTATCTGCACTTTTGTGACAATTAACAAGCACACCAAATAAAAAGTTTATAGCTTTCATTGTTTTTTGACAAAATGGACCTTAACGTAAAGGTAAACCATCGACAACTCCCCGAAAAAAGGAGCTAAAAGACAGTGCTATTTGCACCCCTGGAAGGGTAAGATTGAGATAGACCACTGCTAATTATAATGCATTACCTCCACTTTGTAGAGTATTCAAATAAGCTAGAACCACTTGTCAACTGCAATTAATATGGGCCTTTTATTTGTAACTCGAAATGTAAAGGCTGTTTCACAGTTCCCATGAATTTATAAATGTTTACTTTATAATGTATCCTATGAATTTATAAATGTTTATTTTATAATGTAAATAAATGGAGTTTTCTTATGTCTTATCTCTTATAATAACTCGAAAAATTTTATTTCAAATTTCCGTTTTATGTGTTCTGCTCGGATAAACATCATTTCCGTGTATCATGATCTTATATTTCAACCGTGCCTTAACTATAAACTTATCATGCTACATTAAATATCATTGATCGTTAAAGAAAAGATAAAACTGTAAATAAAATGTTTTCCGTCGTTTTTTTCTAGATAGATAATATCTACACATAAATTATTTATTGCTGTTGTTATTATGGTGATAAGTTATTGAACTATTTTGTTTATCTCACATTCTCTTAAGAAGCAAGAATTTTGTAGTACATCTTTATTAATACTTAATACATGTACTCTTTATTATATCAGAAAGAGCAAGTGATGAGGCATAGAATGCAGTGTACATATAGTAATACAATTAGCCATAGGACAACATTGTTATTCATTTAACCTATGTTAAACGGTTGGCTCCTGTTATCTTGCTTTTAACGAACATTCTTTTTCATTTCTCCTTGGTTCAACTGATATCAAAGGGTTTCGATTTCTTGCACGAAAGAAATACTCAAAATAGATCACAGATGACTGCATCTTTTAAAGTTGCCTTTAAATGCTTAAACATAGCAAGATATCAAGAATCACCTAAAGAAAGTCGGCTTCCAATAATGGGTAGACATGTTTGTGCGAGGTAATACAACAGTGCAAAAAAGGACAAACTGCTTTAAACAGGAAGCCAGGAGCCTATTTTACAAGTGCACGCTGCATGATTAGAATAAACTTGACATCACGATTTGAACCAACCTTCACCTCATGCATATACCCATTTGCAAATCGGAGAAGCTATTTTGGTCCAGACTGAAGCGTTTCTAGCGAACCTGATATATTGTTATCTTTCAAAATATATTATCAACATTTCAGATTAAAATAATTTAGAAGTATTTAAGATATTATGTTACAACAACTTTTTTTTACCCCTGATAAAGGATAATGTTTGTTTTGTGTTCAGTTTCAAGCGCAACATGGGCTTGTCAAATATGAGAGTGCAACATTTAGTATCCGTGTAAATACGATATGAGCTTAAAGCAGCATGCCTCCAGATTCATACTAAATTTTATGAAAATTTTAATAGTGTATTTCAAAGTAAAATATTTTAAATGAAAAAAAAAATGCATTGCAAATAACACTTGTTGTCCGTGTTAATTACCAAAACGGAGCTCAATATAAATAAAAAGAGCCTTTTAGCGATAGAAACGCAGTAGTAGTATTGTAATAAATATTGCAAAAAAAGTTTTTAATCGTACATAACATGTAAATTATGAATTGAATCTTATATCCTTTTTACTTTTCTTAAAATCATTGTAAATTTTTCTCAAGGTTAGTTTTCTAGAAATAGTTTGGCTCATCTTGAGGCATGCAGATTTTAAGTAAAATGTTGCAATTTGATGAAAGGGCACCTTGTTGAATCGATATGTTTTGCTCATTTAATCTAATTACACAAATGAAACAATTCCTTAATGATAAAATCTGTACTTTAAAAGCTCGAAATTGCTTTATTTATTAAAATAACAAATATGTATTAAATTACAAAGAATGTTACTGTTGTAAATCAAACTAGATCTACAGCTGAAACGATCAATGTGCATTATCTGACACCTATAGTCATTGAAGTGCTGTCGATTTTGAAAAAAAAATCATCTTTATTCATATACAATGAAAACCAATAAATAACATAATATTAGTGTTTTTGTTAAAAGATGTTTATTTCGAAAAAAAATATACAAAAACATGTATAAAAAACGGTAAATATTTTGTTATCTGGTACAATGGACAAAAGTCCATAGTAATAATTTAAAATGAAACATCAAATTATTACATATTATGAAGTCAATGAATTATGTTCGGACAATTTACAATATATTATGAAAAGTATTATTACATAGGATTATGTTATTTACAAAAATATAAAGCTTTATGTTTAAATGTTTTAATGATATAGATCATAATAACAAATAAATGTTTCAGCATTGATTTAATTAGGGAAAAAATCATAACGAAAAGTAATACATAAAAATTCAAAAAAATATCATAGCAAAAAAAAATAATGTTCACATACACTTATTTTAAATTTCAATATTGATAACTTTACCATAATAACTGTTAATGTACTAATAATACATTATTGGCATTATTACTTTACATTTAACCAGCTTGATATAAGCAATGAATTTGCCAAGCTTTAACTTTGAACAGTCCATTAAGGGATTCCAACAGAAATTGAGCTATCAACAATATAGGATCTGGAAAGACAAGACTGCACAGAAGTGAAGACTTACCTGATATCTTCACATTTATATATTGAAAATCTATGTTAACCAACTATCACAGAATTTTTGAAAAAAGGTTTTGGTACTTTGTTTAGAAGTGAAATATCATAGCTTTTCTTACATGCAAAAACACAAGTTTCATTGTAAAAAGTGTACATTGTTTATAAACAAATGAATTTTGTCAACACATCTGATGACATTTAATAAAAATATGTTTTCTCCATGAACAATTTACAATGAATGATATGCTTATATACCAATTTAAAGCGTTTAGAAAATAGTATCGTTGTCAAGGATAAAACAAGTATATAAAAATATATACAAAGCTATTGTGGACAGTTGTATGGATAATTATATTTACAAATATATTACTATGTTTTGAAAGACTCTTCCGAACAGTCGACCAATTTTGATTTCGTTTTTTTTTTCAATTGACTAACAAAAACAATGATGATGAAGATACTGGTATTGATGATGATGATGATGATGATGATGGTGGTGGTGGTGATGATGATGATGATGATGATGATAATGATGATGATGGAAATGATGATGATGATGATGATAAACTTTGGATTTCCGAAATCGGATAATTGAAGCAAACCATTATGTTGTGAAATCTATAATGAAAGTATTCAAATAGAAAAGTACTATATATACGTAAATTCAAAATGACAAAAATGGACATTGCACATCCAAAATATTAAATAAAATGTCGACGATAACTTGGTACAACTAAACTAAAATATTCTAAACCTAAACATATTGTCTTCAATCAACATTCATCGAAATGAATATTATATCTGCAACTAGATGTAGCATATGATTGACAAAAATCATTTTGCATACATAATTATTAAGTATCATTCAATGAATTACTGAATTCAATATGTATAGGTCATAACATTAAAGGATATGAATGGTGACAAGTCCAGGGTCCGTACTCTCGGTGCCTGTAAAGGAGGATGGACTCTCAATAAAACTAGAATACATACAAACATATAATTGAAACATTGTATGTTGTGTAATGAAACAGTATCGTAACGGCTTTCTTTGAACACACAATTGTACAAAAAATCCTTTTGAATTGCTTTCCAAGTTAATACTGTATTCCTCAATGTAAACCAATGGTTTATAACAAATACTACATACACATTACGCATTCAGTTTTAAGTCTATAAATACAAAATTATACATATTAAGGAAATTTTTACACAACCACTACCAAATAAAGAAAGATGTATTGTCAAGTAACAATGAAACAACATGATATTTGCAATTATAAGTTAATTACACATGTTATATCATCACGTGATTTGAACTCAATACATCTTTTTAAAAGCATTTCATAAATTACCATGTGAGTAAAAACTTGTTATGTCATCCATCCTTACATAAACAAACTTTGTCGAACTTACAGAAATACATCGTCAACATTTGTGGACGGATTTTTATTAAGAACTTCTAATTCCTCTTCAATTTTCTTTAAATCAAATTCGCTAGTTACTGGTCGACTGTTCATACGTCTAAATGAATCTCGAGCATTTCTCATCGTGCCACTAACACTCCTTAAAGATCCACGAACACTCCTCACTGAGGCACGAAATGTTTTCTGAGGATGAACCACAGAATCTCGGACACTTGTAACCGACTGGCGAACAGATCTGTGAGGGTGACGTAATTCTACTTCCGGATTACTGCTTTTAGTATGTACAGCGCAGCACTTAACAAATAAACAAAATAAAACTAAGCCCGCAATAGAGCAGAGTATAACAGCCCACCAGTATACCTGAAAATAATCATTAATTATACATTTTTAAGTCAATGTAATATCTTATTTATTTGGTTTTACATTTAGACACGGGAAAAACAGTATGTAGTTTAAAAATCTCCTCAAAAAGTATTTTCTTCCGCTTGCTGACAATATCCATAGATATGTGTTCTAAATCTCATTAGAACAACAAAAACATAAACACAAGCGAGACTTTGCGAGAGTTTTATAATATTAAATAATGTCGCATTTGAACTGTTTCTTCCAGAGACACCGTATATATAAAACACTTCAAGCAGATTAGTTTGATAATAAAGACAATTTGAATCAAAATAAGCATTGTGAGATTTTGCAAAGCTAAAAATTTAAAACATGACAAAACGTATTAAAGAAAGATAATACATACACGTTTTTAGTATTTCATAACTTTAATTAACTTTATTGAGTTTTAACTAAGTTGGGTAATCCATTAATGTTGCTATGGAAGGTTAGATCTGTAATTACCTTTGTAGAATACATCATTTAAAAATTTGAAATTCCTAGACTTACCCGTAAAATATATAAAATGCGTTCAGCGCATTCACCGCTTGCAAAACATTGTCTTAATCTAGCCAATGGCGTGTCAGACCTTTTTAAAAAGCCCCACAAGGTGCCCTGTAAAAAAAAAAAAAAAAAAAAAAAAAAAAAAAAAAAAAAAAAAAAAAAAAAAAAAAAAAAAAAAAAAAAAAAAAAAAAAAAAAAAAAAAAAAAAAAAAAAAAAAAAAAAAAAAAAAAAAAAAAAAAAAAAAAAAAAAAAAAAAAAAAAAAAAAAAATGCAGAAATCGCATTTTTCGTAACTTTTATTCCGTCCATCCCCGACCCCCGATAGTATAATGAAATAAGCCATTCCTTAATGCCTTGAACGAAATATCATTTTGTTGATTTACCGGACATTATTTATGAAGGTGGCTCTTTAATTAAAATGACTCTTTTGATAACAGCATTCATGAAGAACTTGTCAAGAAATAAGGTATTTCCCGGAAACTCACCAAAGGCGGTAGGCCCCTGTACAGGAAGTATAGTATTGTCAGAGGATATGTTAGACAACAAATTCATAAACTCTAGGTGTTGTTTAACTTTCGACCTATCATGTGAACTGATGCACTCATGCGATTTCTTTCTTCCTGAAATGTATCATGTGTAATAATGATGTCAATAAATCAATATAGTGAGATGGTGTAATCCATACTGAAATATCGTGTTCAAATGAATAAGCGTCATATGAAATTCTGAATTAGTGCTATATGAAATTCTTAATTAATAAATGTCATACAAAATTCTGAATAAGAGTCATAAGACATTCTTAAGTTACACAATCCATGTACAAAAATGTGTTTTGTAATTAAAAAGATTGTTTGATGAACTCGATATCATAACTCAATTTATGATATGTCAGGCATGCAAAATAGAAGGACTTTAACAATAAAACAAACATACTAAAGACAGACAGGGAAAGGATATCTTATATAATCAATTGAAAAAAAATATTATCTCTTCATGAAATAAATGTGTTCATATTATATCGTTTTCGTTCACTTACTAACACAAATCAAAGTGAATACATATAGAAAATAATAAACTTACGACATCCAATATAACATAAATCTTCTTTTTCTTGTATTGTTAATTTGTCATTATCATTGGACATCTGACATTCTCGCCATTGTATTAATTTACATATAGATGCATTGCAATTCTTGAATATATAAAATGACATAAATGCTGAAAATACGCTAGCGTTTGATAGGGCAGATTCGATGATTCGATAAAGTATGATATCTTACAGTTATATGACACAAAACTCTTATATTTGATGAGTTAATCAATGCAAATAATACATATTTTTCATGATAGAACATGCATCTAACGATAAGGAAATGAAAGTGACAAAATGCTGTATATATCTGATATAAAGATTTGTGACGAACAACATGTTATATACTATTGAATATAAATTAAATATGTATATATAAATAAACAAAATGTACGCAATAAGACAAATATTTAAATATAAATTTCTAATATATTGATGTCTTACCCCGGCATCACAAACACGTCCATTACTGCTACAGATGAAGCCGTCCTCTCGTTGTTGATGTTTGTTTGGTGGGGGACATTGTGCTCCATGGATTTCCCCAGTGACTATAAGTTAAGGAACTAAACTATATGGTGCACCAAATATTTTCCCACTAACAACCAGTCAAGCCACTAACTAATAATTAAGTTTTTTAAAATAAAAACTCCTACGAGTTATTTAGCTTTTATCAAAAATGTATTCTCGCAATACTTTTCTTGGCAAATATATCAATATTATGCTACAAGAAAATCCATTGCATACATGGTTTGATCGAGTCTTTTCTTTAGATATAATGACAGAGTCTTTTCTTTAGAAATAATGACAGATTTAAATCGCCATTCAAGCAAGCAAAACATTATGACCATTGTAACTAAATTGTGATTATTGTACCTACATTAAGACTATCAGACTATGGTAACTAAACTTTTATGATTATTTTACCAAGTAAAATGTACTTTGATGTACTTATATGATAAACTTTGTACGTATATCTGTTCTGCTCAGATGACTTGTAAATATATTTTAGAATTGAAAGGATATTGGCAGAATAATTTGTCAACACATGGTTTTGGGTTCTGGCATACGAAGTTCTGTGTACGATTTATAAATTGACAAACATTGCTGTCACAACATGGTCCTTGGCTTGGGCTAAAATAAAAAGAGAAAAAGCATGCAAATATTGAGTGTTGTAAAAAAAGTATATTTTTATAGCAGATTTATAGTGAAACCACTCAACATACCGATATAACTGTATTTTCTAATAGAATTCATACTACATATATATATATTCATACACATCACACGAGAACCAGAATAAGTTATTTATTACACAAAGTAACTAAATGGTATACCTGCATTTCGCCCCATCTTTGAGGGTACATCTCAAACCGCCAGTTGCATTGTTGGAATGACAACAATTATCTAAATCAGTGTCACAATCGTTTCCACAGTCACACTCTTCCCCGTCGTCAACTATACCATTACCACAATATGGTAACTCGCTATCTGTTGAAATATATTGCCCATTACAGTTACAAACTCTCTATCGATTACATAATAATTCATATGCTACATAATAGTTTGGTAACCATCTAGCTATTGTATTATGGCTGAACATTAAACTTGTTACTACCCGTTGAAAATACGACTTAATATACCGTACCGTTGGCCTAGTGGTTAAGGCGTCCGCCTTCGGATCGGGAGGTCGAAGGTTCGAGCCTCACGGGGAGCGTTAATCGAAGGATGAATGTTTCTCGTGGGACTCGTTCCGAAATGGCCGCTTCGTGAGCCGCGAGGTAGTTAAAATGAATGGTTACCGATTTCTATCCGCCTGGCGCCTGGCATAGTGGTAGGAATCGGGAGGTACATGGTATGCAAGCAAAAGGTGTCTCATAAGTCAAAATGGCTGGCCCTTTCAGTAGGGGTGACACTATAATAAACAAGACCTTTACCTTTACCTTTTTACCTTTTATATTAATCGTCACTCACTACCTGTTGAAATATTTGTTTGGTATTAATTTGGTAATTCTTTACTATTTGGAATGTATGGCTAAATATAAGTTTTGTACCTCAGTAACTGAACATTTATGACTAATAAGATTTTTGCATTCCTTATATAAACTATTACTTCAAACGTATTGGCTGATAGTCCAAATATATATTGTTAGCATAGCGCATGCATTTCTAAAAAAGAGATGTCTAAAAAGATGGGTATCAAAAGGAACGCTTTAAACTAAATTAAGACCTTCAAAAGATCAATTAACTGTACTTATTGCAAATAAAACAAACCTGTAAAGCATATGCGAGATTTATCCTGAGACAGTGCTTCGGAGATGTATTTGAGACTACATTGTGATAGTTTATAATGATTGGGCTTGTCTCCACGTTGAACAATTTTATGCATCAGATAATATCCGTCTGCTGGCTCTTCTTTTAAGTTGTATTCTGAACATTGCTTCATATCATCGTGCTGAAATTTTTAATCACAATTAGTAATTTTAGAATTTTTCAACGATTATCCTTTTTTTTCACCACAGAAAGTATTGATGTGAATTTATAGTGATGCACGTTTGTAATGTCGGTTTTTAGTGGGTAATTTGTTGAAAGAGCTTTTATTTTTCCTTTTTAATAAAAAAAGCGAATACAATTTAGTATATATTTTTTTCTGGTAGTTTGTTTTTGATCAATTACCCTCGTTAAGTGGCTTGTATTTTTTTAGCTTTAAGCCATCCATATTTGCATGTCAATAATCTTTAGTTACCATTAAGGCGCGTTCTGTTGAGAAAATGTACATCTTCTATTTCTGTTATGGAACATTGAAGCTGGACACAAGTACGACATATTATATGAAATCAAATTAGTTTACAGTTTGAACAGAACAGAAATCAACGCATATACATACATATGCGCCGAATCCATGCGCAACCTCGTGTGTAAACACTAGCTGCGTAACAAGTGCTGGCAAAGCTTGTGTACTTTCTAGAAATATTGTGATGAATCCATTGTTTTGATTCGAACAAATCCCACCATCTGTAAGAAACGTACAAATCGATATAGTTTAAGCATTGACAAATAAATACATAGACGTGCAGGGAAAGGCCCACGAGAATGTTGCCAACCCTTTTGTAGTTGGTGTAATTATGTTGATGTATAGTTAAATATGCTATAAAATTTCATTAATCTTTAAAATACTGAAAGGTGTGGCATATAGAAAGCGTATTAAACTTAGACAACTGATATACCTGGTAAATATAATCATTAAAAAATCATAAATATTTGTTATAAAAAGATCCAGCATGTGATAGTAATCATGGAAACGGTGGAATATTGTTTAAGACAAACAAATATTTACCAAGAAGCGCCGAGAAAGCCTTGCCGAGAAGTGGACTTTCTTTGTTGACATACAAAACTCTTGCAGTGATGAGAAATGACAAACAATATTCGACTTCTTCTTCAGGATAATCATAGCTGTATGTATAGTCATCTGTGAAATATGAAAGTGAAATAAGTAAGAAACATAATATTTAAATTCATTACATTTATTACTGCATCAGTGATTTGCAATCCAAGCTGCTCATCCCTTACTCCGCAGAAAAGCAAAGAAATTGTCTTTCAAGACCGGCAAAACTTTTGGTAAATTCTCTGCCCTCATGGGACAATCAGCTGTGTCAATTGATGCCCAAACCTTGGAATGCCTGTTAGACTAAACTTATGCTTTTTTTTTGTTTCTATGCAAATACAAATCTCTTTTATTGAACAACCGAAGCAGGGACAACAAAACGTTTATACATGGCTGGTACGTACCCCTTGTTGAATCATACAATACTACAAAGAATGGGGTTGGGTTACAAATGGCATGCATACATGCATATAGTTTATAAAATATAGAATAGTTTGAAAATCCGCATGAATATTTCACAAGTATGTATGTTACACTAAACCAATCACAGTAAAGATACTTTGTGAAAAATGAAATAATTGTTGACTATTTCTATATTATTATATCATCTCACCTCCACCAATATAATCAGCTTCAGGAACATTGTCATAATAGACAATGTGGTCTTCGAAAGAAAATTGGTCAAGTAGTGATTGACCGTCAAGATCTTCATTGCATAGCACTGATTTACCCTCGTCTTCACAATCGATATCTGTCATAATCTATTTGGTAAATGATAGCTGTCAAGTTTAAAGTATGAACAAAATATGGTTTTTAAATGTCATTGTCAAGATATTTGCATAATAATATGGCACATAGGATATATCCCTTGTATGACATCATTAAAACACATTAACAGAGTTTGGTTCAAAAATTTAAAGCATGATAAAAAAACACACTAAAAAGAAAAAACAAATAAAACACTTAGCATAGTATTCCATGACTTATCATTTTAACAAAGGATGTGCATGTACCTTTATTTTCCTTATCTCGAATTGTATGCCTTTCAATTTTTCTTCCGTCTTTTTACCTTTATTTAAGGTAAATTCTGTATTTTTGAAGATTTTATTTGCTTCCGTCACGTGATTTTCCAACATGTACAATATGTCGTAACGACTCCGGTCCTCGCTCTGCATAAACCAAGATAGAATAACAATGTTAAATTAGATGATTGAATATTAGAAATAAATCATAGTCATGTTGAATAGAATACAATGTATATACAAATTGTATTTTTTGCAAATGAATATTTCACCTTTCGCCTATATTTGCATTATTAAGTAAATTAAGAGTTCAGATATGTTTAACCATAATTTACTTTTCTTTTGCACATGCTTAATAATTCAATCTCAACCACTAAATGAATAAATAAGATATACGTTCAAAATCCTTGGTCCTCGTATATCAGAATCAACTACTGGCATTTTTAATTCGTGTGAATTAGAAAAACTTTTATCAATTAGATGTTAAATTTTATGGTCAAAACATTCATACATTCATACCTGATCTAAACTCATGAAATATTTCCAGACAGTGTTGTCAGTTGTCAGCTTGACTGTACATACATGATGGTCTTGTCCTTGTGATGGTGGAATTAAATCTCTTTTCCGCCGGCCTCTTGGCTTTTTATACATGTCCTGTAAAACCAAATCTTCATCATTTGATAAAAATTTCGAAAGTCATAAAGAATGAATGACAAAATCAGTCGTGCAATCTTTATCATTTGAATAACACATGAGTAGTTTTCTCATAGTATAGCTAGGAAAAACTTAAGTCACATAAAACAAAGTATCTTTTTTACCAAATAAATAACTACTAACTTCTAGTATACAATCAGTATCAAGCAAAGCATTCAATACAGAATAAGTTTTTATGTAAGAAAACTTAAAACATATATTTTGTATTACACGAAAAACTCTTGCTTTTATTTCAGTGCTATCAGAAAATGTTTTCATAAAAACTGGACATACCTGACTCTGACTTATACCTCCAAAAGGAATTGATGTATCCGAATGGTAAGTATGATTCCTGAAAAAGTAACGCAGTCAGTATTTTAAAACTGATTCATGGTGGAATAGAATTTCCTAAATATATGGGAGCAACTTAAAAGTCCATCTCTACGAATTTAAAATAGACTTTTAATCATTTAGTTCGAGTATTCTCAATGATATTGTTGACAACAATGTCGGGTAAGATGAACTGTCCGTTTCGTTAATTTGTTGGTCACATGTTTTGTGCACACGATGGGTATATTTTTAATAAATTGGTGTTAGGCAGAAAATATCATTCATTTAAAATTTCATCTAATCAATTTAGATAAACCGAAATCTCCATGAATGGTTCATAAAGTTTTGTTATTACATTGTTTGTTCAAAGCTATTGAAGACGAGAATAAAGGTCAACAATGCAAAGGCAACTTTCACAGGACGTAGCCCAAGTTACCACAGCTGGACACCCAGAAGGCACCAAACCAAAACCGGGAGTGAACTTTAGAGCGGCGAAAGGAGGAGAGAGACAATTTATGTGTGAAATAATTATAAAAACTAAAACGGACCCATATGGTTACTAATACTCACCATATATAATCTTTTTCTGAATATATCACAGTATGAAAGTATGGCACTGATTTGAACAACCACGAACTAGGAACTACATGATAAATTGTATCACCAGGGAGAACTATTTTACCCTGCAACGTTCCATTGATCACAGCCAAACTTGCTTCACTATCGGAATGTTCTATAAATAGAAAAAATAAGTTTACTTGATACAACAAACATAAAAGAGCTATATTCTTATAAATGGTGTTATTCATTGGTTTAGTTTTGCACAAACATAATAACTAAAACAAAACCAAAAAATCAACAAGAAATTAAACAAACTTATGATATATATTAATGATAACATATTCAACTGTTTCCTTCTTTTGTTTTATATATTTATTGTTTGTTTTGTTTTTGGTTGTTTCTGTTGTTGTTTGTTTGTTTGTTTTGTGTGATTTTATCTATTTATTTATTTATATTTATTTATTTATTTATTTATTTATTTATTGTTTTGTTTTTATTTTTTTCCTTAGTTTTCCCGTTTGTTTTATTTTTTCGGTTTTCATGTGAAATTAGGACGTATGTTGCACAAATTTTGTAATCAGATGTTTGTAAGACATAAACCTTTACTTTAACACTTTTCAATCCCTGCAAAACTTTTAACATAAATATTTAAGACCTTGTCATAGATAATTTACAACCGAGAAGATTGTTAACAGTCACGATAGTATCACAATAGCTTGATAAAGTAGTTCTCAACCACGACACTTTTGACAGTAATTGTGCTATACATTTTAGCAGAAATATGATAAACATCTCAAACACAATTGTGACTTTATTCTGTAATGCATGTCTAATTTTCAACAACAGTTACTTCAAATAAGCGTATTTTCTTACATAAATTTCAATTGAGCACATATAAATATCAGTCGGAGAATTTTCCGCATTCTTTTTGTATCATTATGTTAAGTCACGACGATGTGTAAAGGCCATAAAGTACCTTTTCAATCTTTTGTGTATCGAGAAATGCTTCAAGCATTATTATAGGAAAGAGTACAATCATTGACCATTTGTGTGCAAAGCTTTTCTTACTACGTCAATTGAATTGAATACATATCTGGAGAAAGGGTTTTCCCACGGAAACATTAAAGTCGGCAAAATTACATGAAAATTGCAGACTCGGTTTGGCTCTGCATATTAGGGATAATGAAAGAGTGCAACAACCCTCAAGGCCCCCTAGCACCGGCTTGAGCGGTACTCAATTGTCAAAACTCAAAGGTGCTGGAATCCATGTATTTGTTTATATTTCTGTAAAACGTTTTTATATAGATAAAGTATATTAAATTTTGTTCACCTTTGCCTTAAGGATGGTATAATATATATATTATAATGGCTTTAAAGTATATAAGATGAATGATGCACTGAATGTGCAGTATTTTGTCAAGTAAAGGAAGCAAATGTAAACAAAGAAGTACATTTGTCTATATTGACTTCCATACAAAGTACTCATTCACCTAGATTATACCCACTGCCAACAGAGCAAAATAAGTAAAAGATATTATTCATTAGTATTCATTATTGTGGCAAATGGGTATTTTTGGAAACTTTAACAAGATATAAAGAATAAAAAAGATCTTGAGAAATAAGAATGATGTTATGAAAAACAATCTTAATAGAAAACGACGTTCAAGTAGAAACAATTCAATTATTTCAATTTCTGAAAATATTATCAAAATAAAAGCACTGAATGATGGAAATAATCCAATATATTGATCTGTTACATACACTTCAAAATAACAACATGAAAGAAAACATCCACTTTTTTAAGTGATTAGTGTATTTCATGATTATTTCACTTTTTTCTCTTTTTTTCATATTTCACGTGTTTGAATCACGTTTTCACTGTTCGTAAACAAACATGTTTTTAATAATTAACTACATTTTGTGCGACGTAGTTCCCGATAAAATCCGTAAAATATGATAAGTGAATAAATAAACATCATTACCTGCCTGATAAGCCCATGAAAACTTACACTTATATTCATAACCCACAGTTTTATTTTTTTAAAAATACAACAACAAAAAACAATTATATCAGTTAAGAAACTGTTGACAATTTGACATGAAACATATTCTATTTATTATAGTTTGTTTATATTATTCCAAGGTTAAAATCCATTAATAGGTGCAAACAGTTGGCAGCAGGATCGTATTAAATACAAACAAATCGAAAACAATTTACAGCAATAAAATTTATCTTTTAACATCAAACGAAGATCCACATTAAACTTATTCTATGTTTTTTATAATACTTGTGGAATATTTTTGAAAATATATCAATTGCGCATCTGTAAATGTGCAATGAATTCGGTGCTGTATTAGTCAAATTTTATATTTGTTTAAATCTGCTCGTGAAAATATACGGAATTTTATCTTGTTTCGTGAAAAAAATATTCCATATTTCACTCAAAGAATAAAAACATTTCAATACATTGGACATTATACGTTTTAGTATGTAGAAATACATCGGTTTTTTGTTTTCTGAACAACCTTGTATATTATGTTTGACGTTTCTGTATCTTGGTAAAATTAAGGCGTTCAGGATGTAAGGCATTATCTGCAGGAAAAAGTAAGATAGAAGTTGATAATTGCAAATTCAGATACGTACTTAAAAGGCTCCAAATAAAACTATACTGTATGGCTGTATATTTCTTAATGCTAAGAGTCGTGAAAAGAAATGCACCAACCAACGAATGTGTATCCTCTAGATGCACTTTTATATCTTTCTGTCGGTATATGCTACAGAGGACAGGTCTGAATCATTTGATCTGTACAGATATTTAAGATCTAGTGTGATGGGTTTTCTTACATATAACTGCCATTGCCTTTAGACAAACAAAAGGATTTGCGTTATTATAACTTTTATAATTCATATATATATATATGCGAAAACATATGATACATAAGAATATATACGTACTTTATCTTAATATCTTTTATTTTCTGGTCACACTGGACCATTTATGTTAATACACTTTGCAATTACTTAAGCGGGTGCATGGTGAGGCCGTAAGAAATGTTATAGTTTAAATTGTTTGTCATGGAAAGACTGCGATTTTCAATAACATGCATTTAGTTTTGTGTTAATTGCTCGCTTTAGCTCTCCTTTATTACACCCAATGGGTGCATACCTGATTCCTTCTATTAAAAGCAGGATTTATAATTTCATATTTGTTAAAAAGATAAATACCTGTATCTTTTCCCGTGTAAACAAATGAAAGATCTGGTGTGGTGATTTCCTTTTTATGATGAAGTATGATGTTTGATGATGATTTGTCCTTCCTTCTCAATTCGAGTGAGAAATTTCTGAAAATGTTATCAGAAATATTTTAAAATAAATAGATTTTGTACCCGTCTGTATCGCCGAACACTTGTCATAACATTGTAAATGATATGTTAGAGACAAAATACGCTTTGTAAATGTATAGCGATAAGGTACAGTCTACCGGCTTACATTAACATTTTTCCTTTAAAGAAAACATTGTAACATTCTTCAACTCACTTATTGAAAGCATAAAAGTTGACCCGAAGTAAGTCTCCTGATTTGCCGACTTGAGTGTGTCTAAGGTGAAGGTCGTCTATATCGTAATGTAACGGTTCATAGTACAGCAGCCGTTTATCAAGCAATTCATTATTCGCTGAAAATACATATTAACATAACATAAACATTTATATAATAAAACAACATTAACAAGTCTATATACACATTCGTAAAGAAACGGTAAACGACATAAGACATTTGTTGAGCAATATTTGCTACTCTGAAAATAAATATAAACCTCTTATAAACATTCGATAAAGGCCAACACAAATGATGCTATAAGATATTCGTACACGCCACCTGCACATGTGCAATAGCCAAACTGTTAGTAGCATAAGCCTTAAAGCGGAACTTTGTTGGATCCATATAATAATAAGATCATAAAGTCATAAACATCATGTTCTAGCCGAAAGAAGGATTCAATCATTGATCTCCAATTTCATAATAAATGATACCGTGAATTTTATTGTAAAATGTTGCATAAATAGAGCCTCGTAGGCGTTTAAATGAAGGCGTTTAAATGAAGTTATATCTTATTCTAAACAAAAAACATTTAATTCTTGATGAATTTTACTCAAATTGTCATTCATATGGCAAATTTAATATTGTTGTTAATGTCATCCCCTATACCAGCTTTGCAATGAATATGATCCAAAACATACAATGAAATAATATTTTTCATGAATGGTGTATCATCGTACATTTTTGGTATGATATTTGCTGACATACTCATGAAACAAAAAGAATCCCCAAAAAGGGTAGTTCAAGTTAGAAATTGACACTATTGATGTACCAAAAAATTGAGAAAAATGAGCGATAAATCAAATGTTCTTTTTATGAACTAACGTATAAGTTTCATTCATAAAGTAAACGCTGGGTCAAGTACTTAAATATGATACATACCAATTTCAAAACTATGTCAAGTGTTTATAGTATTGTTTGTTTAGTTAGTGAGGGGCATTAAGTTCAGTTGTATAATATGATAGCGTTACGTAAATCAAGCCAACTATTATATTTTAATATATGATTGAATAAGACGATTAAAGAAGGTTAAGCAAGTGACAGCAAAAGATTGTCAAAGATATATAACAAAATAATGGATATTATAAGATAAAGCAATAGCAAATCAACAGTGCTTTGTGAATTGTTCTAGGAAAGAGACAAATACAAATAAATGAAAGTTTATCGACATCCATCTGTTTGTCTTTTGATAGACAGCATCTCAAGATCAATAAATGTATTATAATATTAGTATTTGGACTTTGTTCAATATCACTATTTTCTAGTTACTCACATAATAGATAATTTATATTTCAAGAGCAATAGTTCAAAGTACATACACGTATTATGAAAACATCTATTTATAAGTTTGACATGTGCGACACAACCTTTAGCAATGTTTTATTTTCTATAACTGATATTCACTTGCCAATTGATATTGTTTTGGCACTTGATTAACTTTTCTTCTTCAATTTCTATTATTTATATTTAGATAAAAATAATATATCTTCTGTCATTTATTTTAATTCTGTTTATATATGGGAAAACAAATATGTTCTGATACATCATGTGATTTTGAACTTTTAAAACAAATATCTATCACTTAACACACTTGAAGCCAAACTTTGCTAACATAGACCCTTTTTTGACTCCTTATATATACTTATCAATTGTTATTGTTAATCATAATCATACTATGCGAAAAGGAAGTCCATTATAAACAAAAATACCCATTGCTTTTTCTGCGGTGAAATTCTAAAAATTCACATCGTATGAAATATAATTGATTTCTCGCAATAAATAGTGATGTAATGAATAATAGACAAGGAAAACTTTTTATAGGCCTATCCTGTTGCATAAAAATATCCTCTTTCTGTAATGCTTCAAAAATGTCGATCTATAACCGCAAGTGTCGATTAGTTCTGTATCACATAACAATATATGTATAAGGATAATAAACAGAAACCAGGATGTAAGTAATTTAAGACTGTTTCAAAAAGTTCAATAAGTTTGAAACATCATTTTTTTTTTTTTTTTTTGGATTTTTAAAGGAGTGACATAACACAGGAAAATGCAGAAGAAAAGCAGAAAGAACGGATTTCGTAGAAAGGTTTCACATGCTTAACTGTTAAGTTAAACATGTTGTTTGTCAAATTATTCTTAAAATGATTCAATGAATGTTGATGAGCGTTTAGACAAACAGGTGTATCTAATACACAGTGCAAATGGACAAACCTCTTTCGTTATTAATACACAGAAAAGATAAAGTTATCTCATATATTTCAATTTGTACTTTTGTATGATAATATATATGAGCCGCATGAGGACAAAACCAACATAATGGGTTTGCGATCAGCATGGATCCAGACCAGCCTGCGCATCCGCGCAGTTTGATCAGGATCCATGCTGTTCGCTATCAGTTTCTCTACTTGTAATAGAGTTGGTAAGCGAACAGCATGGATCCTGATCAGACTGCGCGGATGCTCAGGCTGGTCTGGAAACATGCTGGTCGCAAACGCACTATGTTGGTTTTGTCATGGCATTGCTCAAATTATAATATAGTGTTAAGATTGATACTGTTTGGTGCTGGATATGAAAAGTGAATGAAATGATATATTTTTCTTCCTTTTCTCTTCAACTTCATTTTTACTCTTCAATTGGTATGATAATGATATAACTAGCAAGAACGTCGTCGACTTTATGATTAAACTTATTAAAAGAATCAGCTGATATTATTACTAGCAATCAAACACATGCTTTTAAAAATAGATTAACACGTTCTAAAATAAAATCGGATATTACTCACCAAGCAAAGTATCAGTAAGGTACAATTTTATCAGAATTTACAAATATTTCAACAATATTTCAACAACTGATAAAGCATTAATAATCATCAGAAAAATAAGTGTCTGATAAATTATATTGTAAGCAGTCATAAACATTTTTCATTCTAATATCGGAAACTACTCATCATAAAAAACCCATAATGCATAGTTTTATTTTGAAATTCCTTTCAGATTTATAAAAAAAAGTCTCAACAACTGATAACGCCTGTATTCACGAGTTAAGTTTGTAAATCAGACTTAAACTTCAACAATAATGCTATTATACTGTTTTTATGATAAATATGCACTACCATGCGTGTGAGGGGTTATGTGGTTATACCAAAAATGAGCATTTACTGCCTTCTATTTAGTCCATGTAACTTTCACTCTTAATCTTAACAAACGACAGATAAAATGCTCATTTGTACATTATAAACCTGAACTAAAAATATTTAGCAAAAGGTTGAGATTGTTATGGTCATAAAATGGATGATCTTTAGACAATCAATTCACCGATTATTGCATAAATCTTTAACTTATAAGTTGTCTTATTGACATCGCTTTAGTACATTGTAATATGGCCTCCTTTAAAGACATGTTGAAATTAAGACCACTTATTGAATTACAAAATTATTTTATAAAAGAAGTTGATAAAAAAACCTTCAGAGGCATGATACAATTGAGACCACTTATTGTATTGCCAAATTAGGTTTGAAAATACTATATTCAAAATGTTTTCTTTTTTCCCATTTATGTATATTGCATGAAATCTGAAGACATCTTTCAGGAGATTGAATTAAGTACTAGCACTTTTAACTTATTGGCTGACCCACAATTCCAAAGTGATTTAAACATTTATTCGGTAGAGATTTGGTCAAATTGAGCTTACTGTAAACGGCATTACCTGATAGAGTATCAGAAATCACTAAGACTGTTTAACAACTTAATCTATCTCTTCAAATTTTAACCTTATCTTCTGATTTTAAGACTCGGCAGCAAAAAGTCATTTTTGTCTTTTGTCACAGCAACGTCTCTTTGAAACAATCTAACTCAGGTTAACAAAATCAAAGTCAAAAATGTGTACTCTAAAATCTTATTAATTCATTTTTACTGCCATTTAAACATAATTTGAAATTTTTAATCTGTTGAATTACATAATCTGTATTATCAAATAAAATGTGATTTTTTTTCTTTCTTAAATGAACCATTTTAAAATATGTGCTCCTAATTAAATGCAAATACTCTCGACCTTTTGTGGGGAAACGAAAGTATGAAAAAATCCAACCAACCTGACAATGTATTTATATATACAATAATTTCCAGTATGCTTAAACTTAACACAATAAAATATCGCATTATGTATCAAATTGCGATGTCCACATCAGATAAATAGTTAAATAGGTTAATAGTTTTATAAAGCTACTTTTACATCTTTTTAACGAAACAAAATTGCTCGTACAATTTCCAGTAGTACACTATAAATGTTAAACTTATCATTTATTTTCCTTCCTGTTTGTACGCATGCGCATAGCCAAAACAGCCTGTCCCTCTTTAAATACTTATCTCCTTTATTTCTATCTTTAATCTAATTATGTCCTCCTTGTAGTCAGTTATGTCACAATATATTGTGATGAAACACATATAACTATAGTTTCAAGTACTTCTGGTTAAACGTATATTCCGCATAAATAGTTGTGAAAAAATGCTTTCATCCACATTTAAGTTTTATTTCTATTTGTCATGTCTCTCACCAAAAGATGAAGTTGAGGTTGCTAAAAGAAACAACTCACGGTTGAATACTCTATTTTTACATAAAAATGTCGCATTATCTCTTTGGTCATAAAGTATACGAACTATCAATAAAACTGAGAGGTTTTATTTCCCCTGAAAATGTTTTAAAAAATTTTTCTGAATGCCAAAAGGCCCTATTTGGAAAAAACGAAAATAATGATCGAGCAAATGTTCTTTAAAAAATTTTTAAAATTTTTTTTTGTAGAAATCCCAAATTGCTTCCCTTTAAAATGGTTAACACAAAAAAGGGGGGGAAAAATCTTTATCCCAAAATTAAAAAAGGGGGTTCTTTTTTGGGATGAGTTGAAAAGTTGGGATGTAAATTAAAAACCAACAAAAATTTTTCTAAATAGACAGGGAATTTTTATGTCGGGAAAAGTTTTAACCCCAAAATCAAAACAGACATAACTTTTTTTTTTAAAAATTTCCCCACCAAATAAAAATATTGTTAAAAATATTTTGAAAAACGTAAATTAAAAGTTTATTATGCACATGAATTTTTGATATAAGCAAACCTTTTTTCACGCGAATGGATTAAAAAAAAAATAAACCTTTTTCACTGGCCCTTTTTCTAAAACAAGACTTTTGGGGTTTTTTAAAAAAAGAAATAATGAAAAAAAACTTTGATTATTAAGGAAAAAAAAGAAAAAAACACAAGTCCTTTTCGTAAAAACTTAAAAATAAAATTTAAACCCTTTTTTTCACAAAAAAAATTACAAAATGGCCTTTATATAATTTTAGGATTTATTTTGAAATGAGGGATAAATTAAGGGCCCGAAAATCTTATAAACCTTTAGGAAAATTATAAAAAGTGGACAGCATTCATTTTTAAAACAAAACGTGGGAAAAAAAAACCCCTGATTTGGGGAGCTAAAAAAAACCATTAAAGCCAAACCCAAAACTTTAAAAGTTTTTAAAGTTTTAACGAACGTTTTTACAGATGAAAGGGCCATTAAACAAACCCCATTTTACCCTTATTTTATTTAAAAACCCTTTTACCTAACGTTTACGAATATTTTATCGAGAAGTATAGTAGGTGCACATTCACATGTATTCATTCTTATGACAAAAGTAGAGAATATGAGAAACATTTTGTTTACTGCCTTTATCATTGACTGTAACATAATATTTCATAAAATAAATGAGAAGAGAGAAAGAGAGAGATTATCTTTCTGTTAACCTTGCGGGTTTTGTTAACCTTGCGGAGCACGATAGCAATTATTGTATTATACTTTACAGGCGACGATTTTTTTTTAAGGCCATTTGGGCAAAAGTAATGTTTTTTATATTGTACTGCGTACATGTATATTGCTTATATGTAAAAAAAAATGTATGTTGACATTAGGAACATATTAATCAGTGAACAGACTCATCACATAAATTTAAGAAATACTTTATAGCTTGTGCTACATCTTATATTTTTGTTAAGTTTTCTTTGTTTGTTGTTGTTTTTTTTTTTTGTTTTTTTTTGGGGGGGGTTATTGTTGTTGTTTTTTCCTTTTCACTTTTTTCACAAAACGCGGGTTAAATTATAATATTTTGCTGTACATTTTTTCCTATTAATAATGATACATCTCTTTTCAACTCAACTAAATTTATCAAATATCGAAGAATGTGTTTTTACATTTACTTTAAAATTGAGATTTTTTGAATCAATCCTGTAATATTCTTTAATTTTAATTTTATTACATGCCATCCATATATTAAACAATTACAAAAATTCGGAAATTTGACGTAATCTAGATAAGGGCCATTTTCTATATTGTATATTCTTATCAGAGTAAACAAAGAATTAGCAACTGATAGTGCGTTAATTTCAACGCTTAAAGTTTCAATTTAAGTACGTTGTAAAGACATAAATTAATGCAACAATAATGTCTTTTTCCTGTGTGATTTGCTTATATGTGTACCGCTCATGTTTGGAGAATTTATGTTAGTTAAACTATGACAAATAGGATTTTACATATTCATTCAGTTTAAAGTTGAACACTACACCGCAAAACATGTACTTCATACAATATTATTCCCCCTTCTATAAAAATATAATATTAGATTTTTTTTTACTTTTCTTTCCCTTTATTTTCAAAAAGTAATTGTTTACACTATGTTGGTTTGGACATAATCATTTTCTAAAACTCTTAACTTTACAGTTACTGATGTAGAGAAAAAGCAATAAATAAAATTTGCAATTATTGATGCAATGTTTATCAATCTTATTAATTTATCGAGCTTAAGGTGTATTATCAAACTACCCGAAAAAGAATGGACACAACAAATTTCTATACAAACCAAAACTTGTACTAACACGTACAATAATTTCCAGTATAATTTAAGATTCAACACAATTAAATACCACATTATGCTACAGTCACTTCAATTTTTTAGTAGACATACGTTATACAGTATAATAATCATATACAATAAATAAAAACGTTTAACGTTAATTCTGTTAAATATATTCATATTTACTTACACGTATGTTTCTGTCCCATTTAAATAATTTCTATCTGTAATTTAATCACGAATACATTGTTGTCAACCAGTTTATAAAATTCTTATTATATGCCCTAAATATCATAAAGATAAGTTTATGCAAATGAACTGGGATTTGCTCATTTCAAGTATCTTTGGTTGATAGTTAGGAACGCCGCAGAAAAAAAACTCGAATAAAGTTTGTTTTCCGATATATGACTTAAAAAGTAAGATTTTTGTATGTTAAAACATTGACCAAGATACCTGATTATAAATACAATTTAACAGAAAACGGGTTTTCAGTAAAAGCTAAAAA